AACAGTTTCAGCTCTGGCCCCAGATGTCAGCCTAATGTGTACCTTAATCAAGCCATGTAATAACAACATGTGCCAGAACACGCAAAACAGTGCAAAAGTAACATAAGAAAACTCTGTTCAGACAGTGAATGGACTGACTCTTATATAACCCTGTTCTAGTCTAACAGATTACTCAAAGTGCTCTATACAACATGCCACATTCATCCAATCACATACTTTCTCTAAATTGAGTGCTTCCTAACTACATTCAAACACATTCACAGTCTTGACATGCAGACCAGGGATCGGAACCACTAACCTTCCGATCAGTAGGTGACCTGCTCCACCTCCTGAGCTACAGCCACCCACTGGTAACAATGAGTAAACCGTCACCAGGTTTTGGATAAAGTGTACACTAACAAACCTGTCAAACCTGCATTTGAAACGTTGGCTACCATAGCAGTATAGTATTGCAACATGGCATTTGGATCTTCTAACTAAAATAGGAAAATAGGAACATAAATAGTGCCATCATGCCAGACCTGGTCCACATCTGGCTGACATACACTCTGCCATGACACCAGTCAGTCAGAAGTGCTAGCTTGATGCCGGATCCGGGCCAGACCTGTTTTCTATGAGACTGGGCCACATACACCAAACCACAATCGAGCCAGATATGGCATGCTATCACATAAACAGTGCCATCAATGCCACCTGGCCCATATCCTGATGACATACGTCTTATCATGCCAGAAGTCAGCCAGCTGTGTTGTGCCGGTTTGACACCAGATCCGGGCCAGACCTCCTTGCTATGTGGGCTATTGATTTAAATGTTTTATGATTCATCCCTCTTCTACATTTACCCTAAAACCATTTTCACACAAAAGTGGTAGAAAACCTTTATTTTCCACGTTCTCTTCACTGCCATCAGCCTCTTTCACCTCTTCTTGCTGACTATTTGCTACACAGACCCTCTGCAAGATTGATGCACGCAGGACTTTATCACCCTTTTTACCTTCTGCCCACAGAGAGGAGGTTCAGGTCAGTTCAAACACATACTAACAGAATCCAAAGCTGGACAGACCCTCATTAAAGACTCAGACTTTACAGCTTCACACAACTGTGGGTCAATATGAACGTGTCACGCAGGTGTACGAGGTGGGAAATCTGAGATTTTCCGTCTGTCCCTATGGCTTACCTATAAGGCAGGAAGGAGAATAGTTAAAACAAGCAGGTGGACTGATCTATAAATGTTTGCGACACATGGTTAGTTCTAACTGTGTTGATTTTTAAAATAAAAAAAAAAAACAAAACGTATGTCTTCGTTTTTTTTCTGCTTGATATTGAAATGAGCTTCTTCTGTGTTTAGAAAAGAGTGCCATTTTTGAAAGTCAACCTTAAAATTAACCACACCTATAAAAGCTATTTGCTGTTTTAATAATGTTAAATTGCCACTGTATGAGCTCATCATGTGTTAGATCTTTAAGAGAGAGACCTGCTGCTGCATCCTTCCTTTGGGTCCTTGGGTGTCTTTATCTGGGCATCAGTTTTTGTCTCCGCTATGACACCCAGACAATCAGACAATAAAGCCACAGTACTCAATTCAATTCAGTTCGATTCGATTCGATTCGATTCGATTCAATTCTACACCTGTGACCTACATGTAAAGGAGAGATGTATCCAGAAGAGAAGCCAGCACCCCTGAGTCAGATCAAAAATGATGACAAGCAAATAATTACCCCTGGTCCTGAAACTTACGGCCTGTTTCTACACTGACTGATATGATGCTCAGTGTCCATCGCTCCCTCCTTTTAAAACCTGTTTATCAGTTTTAATTCAGATATGTCCCTCTGAGGGTGAACACAATCTCCAGCAGTTCTGAGCTAAGGAAACAAAGTACATTAATGTAATTATAAGGTAATGATGTTGTCTTATATTGAGCATCCGGCTGCCCACGCTAAACTGTGACTATCACCAGGTAACCTGGGGTTGTTTCCTCAACAGCAGTAAGTGCGAAAGAACTGACAGACT